GCCGCTGCCTGCAGATCTCGTAGGCAGCGCTGCTGCTGCGCGGCAGAGAAACGGCGCCGAAAGAACAAGGCGGCTGTAAACACAACCAAGTCCAGACAGGATAAAAGAACCTGCTCAGAAAACTCCTGTAAACCCCCACGGCTTCAGACACGGCTCTGATACTCCTACCTTAAACATACACCTCAGCTGACAGAATGGAGCAGAAAGTCACCGAATCATCTTCCTGGTTTTATACACAAGGAATGGAGAGTTCTGAAAGGCACAAAGAGCACCTCTGTGGGTGCTGAGTTCCTAGACGTTTCCTATTGTGTTTAGCTGCCATCTTCCTCTCCAGATCCCCCTCCAGAACGCAAATGCCAGAAATGAGGCGATGAATTCTACTGCCATCGTTCATCAAACACAGCTTAAGGTCCACCACGAGATTTACATTAGAAATGCAGGTTCAGACTGACAGGGAACGCAGTTTCAGCACTCGACGGCCGTTTGATGACAGAAGCACCCAAGAGACGTGGTTAAGGCGGTTGAAGCAAGAACATTCCGAGTGTTCGGTACCGCTCTGAGGAGAAGAGAGAGTAACCTGCGCCTGGCAGAGCTCCTAACAACTAAACTTCAGCAGTAAGAAGAGGTTCTACAGAGGTCGCTGCCTGCTCTGCACCGAGCTACAGAGGCTGATGTATTAAACACCCACCCGCAGGGCACGGTTTTACACCAGGTTGTTAAACGTCTACTCTTAATGGACAGAAAATCTCCACCAGAATCTCTTCTGTCTCAGGAACCCATTTCCACTGGTAGCAGCCGCAGAGTAAGCGGAGGAATAAAGGATTCAGTAGCAGGCAAGGCCTTTGTCACCAACAGATACTTACCAGGTAGTTTCTCACGACACGCACAACTGCTTCTCTGGTCACTGCCAGCACAAATGGGCTGATAAACAAACACAAAACCAGGACAGAAAATGGTAACAAATGATCTCGAAGGCAGTGTCCTAACACTTGAAGCATGCACCTAATTCAAACATGAGTGATGGAGTTGCCA